GTACGTGTGTGTGTGTGTGTGTGTGTGTGTGTGTGTGTGTGTGTGTGTGTGTGTGTGTGTGTGTGTGTGTGTGTGTGTCGTTGTAGTTATTACATTTATAAATTTTCAATTTTGAAAATAAGATAATGTGTGATTTTAATATAGTAGATTTAAAAATTAAATTTTATACACTTCGCGCCAAAATTAAAGAATCACCTAATATTCTGATCGCTAAAAATAGGTAAATTTCAAGAATATACCTTCGTCAAAAATGATGGTAACAGAATGATCATAAAAGCATTTTACAGCTTAAAGTCTCTATTTTCGAAATCCATAATTCATTAAATGACTTACTGATTCTTTAAAAAGCTGCACGGATGCAAATGGAGATGCATCAAATCTAAAAATTGTTTACTAAATTTGCGAAGTTCCATGGAGTGAAATAAAAATCGCACAATGCTGATCGAGTGCGCAAATTAAAGATAAAGATTCACGCTTTCGAACGCTGTAAGTTGCATTTGTATGCGATTTTTATTTCACTCCATGCAACTTCGCAAATTTAGTAAAAAATATTTTAGATTTGATGCATCTCCATTTGCATCCGTGCAGCTTTGTAAAAAAACAGTAAGTCATTTATAATGAATTACGGATTTCAAAAGTAGAGACTTTAAGCTGTAAAATGCTTTTTTGATCATTCTGTTACGATCATTTTTTACGAAGTTACATTCTCTTGAAATTTGCCTATTTTTAGCGATTAGAATAGGTGATCTTTTAATTTTGGCGCGGAATGTATTTTATTTTAATTATGTAGATAATAATTATAATTATATAATTAATAATAGTTATATGTGAATGAAACAAATCCAAAAACATATTATACATAAATTTTTATATAAATTCAAACTTTTTAAATAGAATTTATCATTATAATCAAGAGTTGATTTTATTAATATAAAACCAATCAATTAATTCGCTAAGATAGAGTTCAACAATTATTTTTTTAATTTATTATATCGCACTATTATATATCATGTGCAAACTTACGTTGCTTATACTATATGCTACTAACCTGTTTGTATCATCAACTAGACGACCGAAAAATAAAATAGAACAAATAGAATAGAACGACTTTCGTGTGCAGATAACTTGCTCAGGGCGCACTTATGTTAGGCTTGACTTATGAATTCTCCCCGACGATGGACGATGGGCAGCCGCCTATCGATATAATAAAATAAACTGTCAGCAGCAGCCCGCATAAAAATGCTAAAGAGTCTCGCCATCCACATTACCGTGCAGATGTTCCATAGAAGAAAATCAGAAATCATCGGACATCATATTCTTCATACATTAAGTTCTAACAACATTCAAAAAACCTCTTAAAATTTATATCAATCAATCCAAAAGAACAATTTAAAAAATTCGAATTTAGCAACTATTATTATTAACTAAAAGAGAAGAATTATATGTATATAAAGAGTTATATAAAGAAAACATAAAAGAAAACAAAAATAAAAAAGGAATTCTTTTTTTTCTGCTAAACAAAAATAAATTTTTTTATATAAATAATAATATAATTTGGATCAATATAAGCTGATTAGTGAACGATAAATACAAATATTTATATAATACACGATGTACGTATGTGTACATATGTATATACATAAATACACACATACACACATATGTGTGTATATATATATATATATATATATATATATAAAAGCAAATGAAAAACAGATCTTGTTATATCATTAATTATTTTCGCTTTTTTTCTTCAATTAAACAAAAGCTACAACCTATCTCAATGTACAAAGACAACCGTTTAAAGTACAAAGATAGAATTTAAGGCTAAACTGTATATTAGATCGAGCTAATTTGCTTAATTCTGCATATTTTTTTAAATAATATGCAATAAATATATTAAACGTGGTTTTTCATATATCTTATGTAGCGTTTTATCCTTAATATATGCAAATTAATTTCTTTATACAAAAATACCAAATCGATATGTCGTATTATGTAAAATAAAATAAATATCAAAATATCGGTTTTATTATTTTAATCCGGTATTGGCGGTATTGCAATCACTATAATAGAGACGGTCTTCAATTTTGTGAGAGAAACTAGAAGAATAAAATCGTAATAAATAGTTATAATTTTCTTGATGTATCTGATGACTTTTGGCGAAGATAGTTGTTACTTACTACAAATGATTCATGCCGTCTCTTTTGGCCGTTTGCAAAAGCGACTAGTGTCGCACTCGGTTCCTCTTAACAGGGACGAAGAACATAACACGAAAAAGCGAATGGCACCCCGGCACCCCGTGGCTGTTTGACTTAATTTTACGAGGGGTCGCTCGGAACGACAAGGGCAGCATCGGAAGGGTGGAATGCGCGGTAGCGACAGCGGTGGCGGTTTAGCGGATAAAAATTATTCGTTTAAAGTCGAGAGGAGAGCGCTATAAAAGTGCAGTTAAGTTTTCCAGAGGAGCGACCGTAGATTCTTCTCGCGTTCGTGCGCGATAATAACTATAATTGAGTAAATAATCGCGTCTTATAGGCACTAAAATTTCGAGAAATTAGAGTGCCGACTTCTATATACTGTACATAATTTTAAGCTCCTCCTCTGAAGAGATCTGACTTTATTTAATCACAATAAGAGACGCAACGTTGCAAAACGTTTTGATGAACGCAATGTAACGCAGTTTAAACTCTGTTAAGCTACGTCGCGCGATAACGTCTTTGATATAGTTTACGACTTGATCGATTTCGAGCAAAAGACTGTCGCGAAAAACATGTTTACCTAAAAATATAATTACAATATTTTCCATTATAGTTATCCATCAATTCCATCAAGAAACATGACGGTTAGAAACATGACGGCAAGAAAAATGCTCAATTATAAAAATATTGATCGTAAATAATTGGATGTCGCAAGCATTAACATTTTTTTTACATACGCCAAAAAAAAAACGAATGTAAGGAACATACATCAGAGATTTCCGTCTCGCGAATTGAAAGAAATCTAAGAAGAGAGGAGCTAAACATTTACGAGAAATTGACTGCTGTCTCTCTCACTGAAGATCTTATTTTACTCGAAAAAGAAGTGTACCTATATGTATGTGTGTGTTATACGCAAGCAAAAAAACACCTGATATTTATGGTCCAGCTGATCGGCCACTCCACTCGCAGATCGGATCTCACTAAATCACCAGTCGGTATACGCCTAGGAAGGAACTAGCCGCTTCTCCCCCGCAGCCCACGGGCGGCCATAAGGTTCCAATGTATGTACAGTAACGCAAGATGACGAAGGATGGAAGAAGAAATCGATGAAAAGAAAAAGTTGATGTCCTATACGGCCTAGCCTTGGCACGTCTTTCGAACGATGTCATATCTGAAAAACTATCCACGAGATAAAGATTCATATACGCATCGCGTACTATAATTGACATTTTTCAAAATGCACAATATGAAACTTGCACTATGCAAAAAGATAAAAATATTTTCGTATAAATACAAGCGGAATATTCAATATTAGCGTTATTTTTATTAATATCATTATATCAATATATTGTTTTGATTTGAAAAAGAAAAAGAAAATCTTAAATAACATTATTAATATAAAAGTGTAATGCGACATTAAATTTAAAATTTATTTATTATCTTTATGCATATATAGAAATTTAGAATATAAGATGCAATTATTATTTTTTTATCTTTTCTGAATATTTCAAACGGCAACTGATTTCATTTAATATTAACTTTATTATTAATTTCGGATAATTTTGACAAAATTTTTGACAAAAATTTCAACAACAAAATTTTTTATTGTCATATTGCAAAATTTATTTATGCTCAATATTAAATACTTATTGTAATATGTTATAAACATTGCTCAATGTTTATTGTCTAAAAGCGTGTCATAATTATAAAATTACTTTACAATTTTCAAATACTTTTAAATATTGCGTTTTAAACTGGAATGATGTAGATATATAATATATAATTTGAAAGTATCAAAAACTGTTTCAAAATAAAATTAAACATATGTATATTATACAAAATTATATAAAATTTATAGTAAAAAGTTTTATATAAATATAGGTAATAGAAAAATATCGTGTTTATACTATTTTGTAATTACAAAATCAAATATACAAACAATTTCTGATAATCTTCTATTAATTTCATTTTACCCAACCATTTTTTAGTAAAAAATTCAAAACGATATAAAACTTGTTACTGAAAATTGCTGTTATAACAATGATATGTAGAAGTTATTTGACCAATTACAAAATGCAAAATTTTAGCTCATTAAGCAAAGTACAATAAACATTTCTAAAATATTTAATTTAAATAATTATGATCAAAATCAGAAAAAACTTTATAGGAAAATATTGCAAATTTAATTTCCGCTCATTTTAAATATGAAATTATAATATTTAATAGTTTTATTAATAACCTTAATAAAATCAGATTTCAATTTTGACTAAATTTTTTTTGTTTAATAATATATCGCATTATCAAGTGTAGTCAATATATTACAGATAAAAAATTAAAAAATGCATTATATATTATACAACTTTTTCCTTAGAATGCCTGGAAAACATCAATAATAACATCTCGACAATAAAAATAAATAGCATAAAAAACACATCAACATGAAATTTAAGATACAAAAATGAAAATACAAACTTTAATTTATATCATCTAATAAATAAAATATTTTATTTTAGTAAAATTGTGAAGTGAAGTTTACACATATGTATTTATATAATTTGTGTAACATATACATATGTTTTTTATATTTTTTAACTAATAAAATATTTTTTCTATACTAATTCTATAACAATAAGAATCATAAAATACCTAACATAATCTTGTTGTTAGTTTAATTTTAATTATTATTCTTAAAATTATATTAAAATTGTGTATAAAACCGTATATATGTGTATTTTTCTAAATAAAGCTGTATGGACACAAAATGTACAAGAAATAATTGATGAATTATATAAATTTTTTATGACATAATATATGATGATATACATATATGAAAGAATATAACTTTTTCAAGAATTTCTAATAATTTGACTACTTGATTATGTTCTTATTTGTTAATATATTAAGTTCTTGATTATATTCTTTGTGCTAAGTTAATTTATATTATCTGTGTAAAAATAATGAAAAGTATTTTTGTGCCCTTTTATAAGAGATATTATTTAATAGTCGTATCAGTATCTTTATAAAAATCTGTACTTTGAAGATTTATTTAATAATAAGTTTACGCATATTCAAGTTAAATTATGACTTGCATGACTTTCAACAAGCAGTCCATTAAGTTTAAGAGTTAAGTGTGTTGAACTTGTCGATCGTGAAAATGTGTATGTAGTAAAAGATAGGGTAGTTTGATCTGATTAGCGAGTATCGATCGTCTTTGACGAGCCGATTATCCGACTAGGTCAGGGTGGTTTTCTTCTAGGTCATTACATCAGAAATTGTAATTGTTCGTTTATTACACTAATAACATTACTTGCTATTTTTTTAGACTATAAATTTTCATCCATTGATTTTATATAATTATATCTTATAAATTAAGAACTCTTTTAAAATGTTAAAACAATACAAATAGTCACGAATAATAAAATAATAAGGTTATTAATACAATATATATTTCTTATCTTAAAAATTATTGTTTTCTAAATATTGTAAATAAATGTATAATAAAAATGTTTTTAACTATTTTTATAAATATCTAATGACTTAATATATGTATATTATTTTAGGTTGTCAAATTATAATATTAATGATAGTCGCTATACTTAAAACCGAATTCAATTTTCCATATTGAAGATATAAAAGAATATAAAAATTTTATAATGAATACATGTATTTATGCGATTATATTTTGTCACTAATTAATACAATTAAACTATTTTTGTATCCTAGTAAAAACATTATTCGAAAATAAACTTATGGAAATTTTACTAGCTTCTAATCTCTGTAAAGTACGAATAAATAAGTTTATTTATAATATATTGATAGAAATAATGATTTTATAAAATTAATGCTTAGAGAGAGAGAGAGAGAGAGAGAGAGAGAGAGAGAGAGAGAAAGAAAACTCTCTTACTTAGAAAAAATTACCATTACTCGGCCAATTTAAGCAGAACTGGGTCAAGGTGGCTATCTTCACGTAATCTCCTTATTTCCTTGTGTCTCTACAGATTTCATTTATTCGTTCATTTGACGAATGTTGCCATTTGTCGGTAAATATATGTATTATGTATGTATAGATATGTATGCGTGTGTGTGTGTGTGTGTGTGTTTACGCGCGCTCGCGTGTGTGTACATAGGTACATGTTGCGCGTCTCTATGTGAGTACGATCTATGTGCCGCGTCATCAACCACCGCGAACCTACATCGTCATCAGAAGTGAAAGATGCTGGCATCGCCGAATCTTTCCTTTCTCCATCTTCTACACGCGGTGAGAGTAAACGTGACGTCACCGACTTAAAGCTGCCGAACGAAATGAACACTATCGATTGATTCGTACTTTACAGGCGGAGATTAAAAGCCAATAAAATTTCCGTAAGTTTATTTTTCAATAATGTTATTTTTACTAGAATACAAAAAGTGTGTCTATATTAATTAGTGACAAAATACAGTCGCTGAGTAGCATAAATATTACATATGTATATTCGTTATAAAATTTTTATATTTTATCATATCTTCAGCAAGGAAAATTGAATTCGGTTTCAATATAGCTATTAATACAGCTGTCATTAATAATATTATAATTTAATCGCAATATATAATACATATGACAGAATATCTGACATTCAAACGTTTCCCTCTAGGTAAGTATAAATACAGGGCTTTTCTATTCAGATTAGTCTGTTCTACCTGCTCATGAACGGTGTTACACTTAATAATAGACCCTGTATATTGCATATTATAGATTTGTTCTCAATGTTTATTACATACTATCAACATATTATGTTATAATTTTAAAAATAACATAATATAATTATTGTTATTACATTGTAATATATTATTTTTAGAAACTAACTATAAACGTACAAAAGCTTATACAGAATATATTTAAAGGCATTAGGGCTCGTCAAAAATAAATTCACAATAGTGAAGTAACGTCTATGCGAGCTAACACGGTGTGTACTAATTTTTACAATATCCAGCCACACGCAAACTGCGTACCGCATATTCGTCGGTCTTGAAACAGTCAGTTCATTACATGAGGCCGGAATCCACTTGTAACAATTAAATTGACTAGCAATTTAATATTATTTGATGATAATAAGAGAGCATCTATAAGAATATTAAGAAATTCCCCTTCCCCCAAATCTGGAAAGAATTTATTGCAAAAAATATCATCTCAGCTCCCAGCCGGGAACATGTATTGAACTGGGTTTCAAGACCGACGAATATGCGGCGCGCAGTTTACGTGTAGCTGGATATTGTAAAAATTATTACACACCAACATACGTGTTGGCTCGCATAGGCGTTACTTCACTATTGTGGACTTATACAGAATGTTTGGTAAGGATCAACTTTCGTGGGCAAATGAAGTGAATTAAACTGACAATGAGTATAGAAAAGTCTTTTGTCATTTTTCAAAATAACTTCGAAATAATTAATGAGATATTAATTGATAAAAATCAGCGAATATAAACGTGTACATCCGTGAAAAATGAACGCGACGCGAAGCACATTTATCGTTGCTAGGAACGCGTCGAAATGTTTGGAAGTACTCTAAAGGGCCATCTACAATGGGAGTAGTAAATCGTAAGTCGTAAGAAATTGACCAATCACAGTCAATTATTTTTCTCATTTCGACTGTGATTGGACAATTTTTTATAGCTTATGACTTACTACTCCCATTGTAGATGGACCTTAATAGCATTGACTATTATGCAGGTGCGGTGCACACCTTCAAACATCTTGCCGTACTCCTGGCCGAGCTCCGTGAACGCGTATAAAGATGAGTTGTCTCTTCGCATGAAGATTCTCATGATTATTTGTAGATCTTTATTATTATAATTAATATCTCATTATTATTTTTCGAAGTTTGCAAAATAGCAAAAGACTTCTACTAATTCAGTTTAACTCGCACTACCTTCTTACAAAAGATGATCCAATCATTGCCGCACATTCTGTAAAGTATATCAAACAATGTTTAAATAAACTTAAAGAAACAAATGTATATATAAAAGAGTAAATAGAAAAATATCGATGTAAATATTTTAATAAAAATTTTAAGTGCTTTTGATAATCCGATAAATAAAAAAAGTAAATGAATCTAGCTGATTCCATTGGAATTATATCTGTTTTGCTACAAGTAATGTATATCATAGGATTGTAACAACAAATTGTCAATTTACCAAATA